TATTGTATTTGTGTTGTTATAATTTATAACTCTAAAATAATAATATAAAAATTATACAATAAATAATATAATAATTGGATTATTAAAAAAACTCAGGTTTCTGCAAAGAAATATATATAATAAATTTGAAATTATATTGCATTGCTTTTTTAAAAAAAAATTTCTTTGTTGACGATAAAATCAATCAGAAGCAGGGTGTAGTGACTTAGTGAAGTTGGTAAGTTGTCACACTCTTAAGTAGCAGGACAAGAGTTTGAATCTTACTGGTAACGAAATTTGAATTTTACAAAATGTGTTATAGCAGATTGTGTGTAATCTGATGGATTATCAGATCTGTAGCTTTGGTCGTATCAGCTTGTACTAGAAGAATATAGAACTATAGTGTGATGCAAGAGTTATATGAAACCTGAGTAAAGCATTTATATAAATCTAAGGGCTGGAGCATACAGAATCCTGCTTGGCAAGTCCCGAGTAGAGAGGTAGCACAGATCTTCAATAGTGTTATATAAAGGATTATCACCAAAGATCCAGAAACTAGACAGGACCGAGGTGTTCAGCAAAGCACTATATCAACCAGACCATTAGTGTATTTTGAGGAAGGGGTCACACTTTCAGGCTATCTGGATTGGGAGTTTAGGGACTGATAAAATGGTAGACGGTCCATAAAGTGGATGCTGGGTTTAGATAAATTCTACAAAGGCAGGAGTAGGTAATGATAGTGGCTTCGGCTCGCAAGTACTTGTTCTTGGACTTGGCATAAGTTATCGAAAGTTTAGATTAGCAATATTGTGGGTATAGAAAGCTCTAGTAACAATGTTTCGAAGATAAATTAGTTCTAAGCCTATAGTATGCATCTAGAACTTTTAACTGATGAATATAACAAAGTGTTCTGGTGATACAAGGGAGCAGTATACGTTACAGAGAATTTAAATAGATAATCTCCTAGTTAGGTTATAGGTATGGCAGCTAGTGTAGAACCTATAGTGTACAGTTATCTATACGCAAACTATTTAAATAGGTGCTCAAAAGGCATACATGTGGCTAGTTATACTTTCTAATGTAATTGGGGTTCCATTGTGAGCTCCTCACCTATTATACTTGAATAAAAACCTCTATGCCAAAGAGGCTAGTTAATAAAAAAAAAAAAAAATCAATCAGAAGCAATATAATCAATTATCAGGTTTTTCGAAATGCAAATAATATGAATATTTAAATACTCAATTATCTTGGCACATTGATTAAAGATTGATACCTGATTTTACGCACATACGATATAATTGTTTAGTCAACAATTATATTGTATATATGTATGTAAAATTGGGCATCGATCTTTAATCAATGTGCCAAGGTAATTGAGTATTCAAGTATTCATATTATTCGCAGTATTCACAGTATTCACCAAACAAAATTTTTTTGAAAATTGCGATAAGTAATTTTTGTATAATGAAAATTTTTGCATGCCAAATAATTTTGTATAATTTTTTTTGTAATGTTTTATAATGACAAAATTTTTAGAATTTATTGTATAAAAGAACTTTTTATTTTTTATTTATAATTTTTCAAAAATATTATTTTTCAAACAAAAATAAAAAACTCCTTTTCGAGACGAATCATTTTCCCCGACTATCACCCGTCCTGTCTAACAACCTCAATCAATCTATACTGTTTAACAATTTCAATCTTCACACCAGCCTGTTCAACAACCTCAATCATTAACCTATCCCGTTCAACAACTTCAATCTTCACCCAGCCTGTTTAACTACCGCCTGGTCAGCAATTTCAATCTTTACCCCAGCCCGTTTAACTGCCTATTCAACAATTTCAATCTTTACTCCAGCTCGTTCAATAGCAATTCTACTCTGTTCAACCTGTTCAATCAACTTCTCAACCTGTTCAACCTTTCCAATCCTCTGTTAGACAACTCTGGTCCTGGTCTCAGTCTCAACTCATCTGATCTCAACCACAATCTCAACTACAATCTCAACCACAAACTCAACCAGTTTTGCAACCAGTATCATATGAAATTTAAAGTTCACCTATTATTCCTAGTATTATTTTTTTAAAAAAAATCAAAAATTCAAGCTTTTAGTAACTATATATTGATGATATTGTAACTATATTATTATGATATAGTTATGATATCATCGACATATGGGGGTGAGTCAATAGAAATCAAGCAAATTGTTTTATTAAAATTTTTTTAAAATTTTATATACCAATAACTTAACCAAAACTTGATCAAATTTAATAAAATTTTTTTT